CAAGCCAATTCCATATCATATCCTCCAAGAGCACTCTGTACCTCACCTTCAGGGCATGTAAGCAATTATCTTACACATTTTCAATATCAGTCTACCCGAGTATAATCAAAGCTCTATGAGAAAGAGACATGTTGGGTTTTCATTTTTCCCCTTTCCTCATTGTTTTCCCAGCATTTGACTCAGTCCTAGCACCCTCTGGGTGCCTAGCAAATACTTGATGAAGAAGAAGCTAAGAATGAATAAAACCGGACAGTATGTTTGAGAAAATATGAATGAGTCCTGTATAGCAGGAAGGAGAGGTATGTGTGGCAAAGCAGCTGGAAACCACATTAAAAAAAAAAAACTGACTAAAAACTACCTCTAGATGGAACTTAAATAAAATGAGAAAAGTGATGGATCTATATTTCAGCAAAAATGTGCATTTCAGAAGGATGCTGCAACACCAGTGAGGACCAGACTCCTAAAGCGTGGCACCCAGCTGGGAGATAGGACAGAAATACAGGCAAGGTGAAGAGGGCCTGCAAGAAGGGAGTAGGGTGAAAATGGAGGAGAAAAGGTGGCAGGACAAGTGGAATGGGTAGAACTCTGACTCCTGCCTGGACTGGAAGGGAGAGGAGAAAGAACAGCACAAGAGGAAAAGTCCAAAATGGTGCCCAGGGTTCTGTATTGAAAGACTACACGGAAGAAAGAGAGGGCAAGATTAGAGGATGAAGAGAGAATAGCAGGTCTGCAGGAAAAATGATGAGCTTGGCTTTGGACTTGCTGAGTCTGAGGAGAGCACTCAGAAGAGACTGGACTCAAGATAGAGAGCAGGGGTCATGGGCACATAAATGAGTATCGAAGCTGTGGATAAGAACCAAAGAGTGAGCAGAGCTTAGAAGAAAATGGCATTTAAGGGACAAAAGGAGAAAAAAAGAGTCCATAATGAAAACTGAGAGGGAAATAGAGACAATAAAAAGTAGGACTGGTTCTGGTACACCAAGGGTAATAGTAGCAATGACGGATGTGCCAAGAACTCAGAAGATAAGAAAGAAAAGTGCTCAGGAGTTTTGGTAACTCTGGGGAGAGTAGCTTTGGTGGAGCGGTTAGACAGAAGCAGGATCTCAGCAAATGATGATTTGAGGAAGCAGAGGTGGCAATTCTAGAACGCTCTTCCAAGAAATGCAGCTAGGAAAATGGGCAGGTGTAAATGGGTGAGGACGTTGTTTCTTTCCAAGGTAAAATAAAAACTAAAAATACTTAAATGGGAAGACGGTAAACAGGAAAGAAAATTCACAAACGCAAGAACCAGGTCCCTGAGGCAAAGGAGATGGGGTGGCAGTACACATTTGAAACAAGCCCCAGAACAAGCACCCTTGCTTTCACTGACTTGAATTAAAGGCTGGAGAAAGGACAGAAGAGGACATCAAAGAGCCTTGACTAAGGGCCACAACTTAGGGAAGCAAAAAGCAAGGCTGGAGGTGGAGGAGAGAAATGAAAAAACAGACACACCAGGAAATTGGCAAGAGAGCTGTCTGAGCACACATGGGGAACGTCAAGGGCTGGGTGGCCAATGACAGCATCAAGAGCATGTGTCTACAATGTAGCCGACAGGGCCTACGGTTTTCCCAAGAAAGAGCAATTCCTGCCCTATCTGGAGGACTCCTTGAGGAAGAGGACTTACACACGCTGGAAGACAGACTGACAAACCAAAAGGAGTTCAAAGGATGATGCAGAAGAAGTATGAGAAAAGCCCAAAGGTGATCATTCTGGAGCTGGACTAGGAAACAGGTGCCACCCAGTCCACCATGGACACAGAAACTTCTGTCTATTCTCCTTTGATTATATAATCAGGCCCTCATGATGCTGGACAAAGGTGGGACGATCAGAATACAGAAAAAGTGAGAAGCCATTACTTGACTTCACTTCTATGGATGAAGGTGGACGACCTGGGCTGCTGCAATGTGCCCTGGATGGTCCCCTACTGGTCCTACCATATGCAGTGCACCCACCACATTACTGCCTGAGTGATTTAAAACTGATGAGAGAATTACACTCTTTTTTACATTTTCAGTACTCTGATCTCTACTCCCACATTTTAAAAATGAAATCTAAACTTCTTAGCCTGACAACACTAACTGCTATTTTTTAAACATCTATCTTCTATTAGAACTAAGTGGATAGCATACCAGCTCATTCAATTTATAATTTTTAAAATTCCCACTCCCCCACCCCCTGGCAGTGCTGCAGATCTAATCCAGGGCTTTGTGCATGCTAGGCAAGTGCTCTACCATTGAGCAACGCCTCAAATCCCCTTCTTTCCTTTTTCATAGAGGAAACTAAAGCTTAGAAAGAAAGTGACCTATCCAAGGTTACAAAACTAGTTCAATGGCAAAGCTAGCACTGGGATACAGGCATATGACACAAAAATCTGTGCTGTTAACATGCTATTGCCCATAAGGCCCTCGTGATGTGGCTCCCACTTATCTCTGTAGTCACCTCTCATCCTACAACTCTATGCTGCCTCTCTGATGAACCACTCATAAGCAATGAGTATACTTACAGTCCTTGGTTCATGCCACCTCCCACCCCTCTTCATCTGGTACAGTCTGCTTATTCTTTAGAATGTGATAAAGCAGTAACTCCTCATACAAACTTTCTGGTGTCTCAGCCTCACTTACAAACACGCCAAAACCTCCTCCACCAAACCTCTAAGATAAACTCCATGCTATAGTTTTCAAAAAGTAAACTCCTTGACAAGAGGAATGCATATCTTACTTATTTTTGCATTCCGAGTTTGCAGTTCAGTGCCAGGCACACGGCAGATGCTCAATAAACACTTATGTTTATTCTCTAGAATGGAAAGTTGCTTGAGATCAACTTCACATGGCTGTGCTTGAAAACAGCTCAGTACTCACTTCCTTAAAGGGTTTCAAAATCATGTCACATGAAAGCACATAGGAATTGACCAAGAAAAACGGAAAGAAGAGTAAGACATTCTGGGCAACAGGAACTACAGGAGCAGAAAGCTAGAGGCAAGCAATTTAATAAGACTAGAGTGCCGAGTTAAGGAATAAGGGACAATATGGCAGTATGAGTTTTCACAAGACTGGCCTTTTCATCATTAGCTCAAATGTTAGCTCAAATGTCACCTCCTCAGAAACTCAAATCTGTCCAGCTGGATGTCTAGGAGGATGTTTTAAAAACATCCCTCAATAAAAAATACATAAATAAAAATAAAAATGCTCCCTTGGTGTCCTCTAAGTTTCTCTCTACCCCATTACCCTGTTTTCTTTTTTGTAGCAGTTATCAGGATCTGAAATACCTACCACTCCTTAAAAATTATGTACTGCTGGACACAGTGGCGCACACTTGTAATCCCAGAAGCTTGTGAGGCTAAGACAGAAGGATTGAAAGTTCAAAGCCAGCCTCAGCAAAAACAAAGCGCTAAGCAACTCAGTGAGACCCTGTCTCTAAATAAAACACAAAGCAGGGCTGGGGATGTGCCTCAGTGGTAGAGCACTTGCCTGGCATGTGTGGAGCACTGGGTCTGATTCTCAGCACTACACAAAAATACATAAACAAAATAAAGGTATTGTGTTCATCTACAACTAAAAAATATTGTTAAAAATACATATTTATTGACAAGCACTGCTATCACCATCAAAAAGCAGGCTCCCTGAAATAGAACTATTTCTGTCTTCAGTGTATATAGTAATGTATGGCACCTAACAAGCACTGGAATATTTTAGTCAGTCAATCAACAAATAAAACAAAATCCTCTATCATTGTGGAGTTTACTATGGATAAATAAATTAAATATGCTAGCCTAGGAAAGGAGAGACCTGGAAGATAAACTCTTAGCTTTCAAAGACATATAGAGCTATTAAATGTGAGGGTGATTTCTAGAACCTAAAGGAGAAACCTGATAAGATTATTGGATAACTTCTTTTAGCTCAGCATTTCAGAGTCAGAACTAGGAAAGACCAAACGGAAGCAACCAGAAGTATTGAGGTTTTTGTCACTGAAGAAACAGACCAGTGAGCAAACGGGTCATGGAAAAATATCCAAGTAGCCAATGGTAAAGGAAGCCTAAGACAGAGGCCCCAAACTGCAGTCACAGATACACGTGGGCACAGATGTACAGCTTTGAGAAACACTGAATTAGTTGCCAAAACTTTATGAAACAATGGAGAAGCATATTAGTGGTGCTAAAAACTAAGGGGACTACATATATGCACAAATGCACCCTAGCCTTAGTTTCATTTCTCCATTAAGTACGGTGCTTATAAAAATTCAATTCAGTAAAAATATGACTTTATTTCTGACAAAGAAATTTTCTTACACTGCATTTACCTTACCTGACTGATTTCTCTTAAGCATTAGTTTGTAACTTCGGGACCAAACCAAGGAATCAAGAGCCTTAGTTTAGAAAAGCCTTTAGAGGGCCAGGGATGTGGCTCAGTGGTAGAGCACTTGCCTAGCACAAGCCAGACCCTGGGTTCCATCCCCTGTATCGCAAGAAAAAGGGATGGAAGGAGGAGAAAAAAAGAGAAAAAGTGTTTAGGAGACTTAGTTTAACTTCATTTAACAAATAATGTATTACTGCTCCCACCTCACAGAGGAGGGCAAAAAGGGAAGAGATGTCCAGAGTCACAGAGCAAATTTGGGCAAAGCCAGGACGAGAACCCAGATGTCCCAACTCCTGTGTTTTAACACGGGATTCTGAGCACTCCCTGCCAGAGGACAGAAGGGGGACTGACTTGGGAAATAAGCAGAAGTTTTCTAGTCAGAAGACCCCGGACTGAACCAGTGTGAGGGGACGTGGATGGAGAGGAGGGGCGACAGGCGTTCTCAGTAACTCCCCAGAGGTGGGAGGACCGCCCTGAGGTGGGCGCTAGAGGATTCTGAAACGCGAAGTGACCTTCGGCCTCGCAGCCGAGCTCGCCCCCTTCTCTTCAGGACTCCAAAACCAACCCCGCAGGAGCCCACTCCTCCCTCAGCAGCCGCTGCTTACTTACCGCCACTCAACTTCCGGCAACCATAGCGTCGCCCTCAGCGCGCGCCCGAATGACGTAAGTGGCCCCGCCCCCAGCCACCGGGTGGGAGATTTATGCGCATGCGCATAGGGCCCTGGACCAGCTAAGTGAAATGCGCCCCTAGCACCTGCTTGGATGGGAGGAGCTTCAGTCGCTGGGAAGGCGGGCGTCAGGATGTGGGCGAGGTCCCTGGTTGAGGACTCTATCTGGGCTTTGGGAATAGGAATGTCTATATGCTGGTTAGCCTTTTACAAAAGAAAAAAATAAAGATCCGTGGCCTCTCTTGATATCATAGGATGAGAGGAATTATCATCCCCTCTGGCATCTTCTAGGACAGGCGGCAATGGCCTGCCTCAAACAAGCAGTACAAGGACCATTTGAGAGGCAGGTGTGAAGACAAAGGAGATGAAAATTTCAATAGTAAAAGGCCACGGAAGGTTGACAATAACCAACCTACTTTTTTCGGAAATCAGTCATTATTTTCGGAGCACACCGCTGTCATTCATTCTAAATTATTTCTTGAGTATACACTATCTGCCAGATAGACGTTGAAGATTGGACTGTGAATATTATGCATTTCTCAATCTGGCCTTCTATAGTCTCACAATAACAAGAACAATGACTAGGAGTTATTATCTATCATGTTTTCTGGGTTTTACATCTCTAGTCTTCCAAGGTTGATGTTTTATTATTATCCACATTTTACATGTGAAAAAACAGAGGCCAGGAAATTTTAAGCATCTTGCCTAACAATTAAAGGGCTTTCAGGCCAGGGCAGTAATCCATTTGTTTTGATAGAGCTGGATGTTGTGGCCTGTAATCCTAGCTACTCCACAGGCTGAGGCAGGAAGATCACTTGGGCCCAGGAGTTTGAGGTCAGCCTGGGCAACATAGCAAAACACACACACACACACACACACACACACACACACACACACAGTCGGTAGGAATGCGACCTCTTATTGATAGAGAACAGATAGATGTCAACTGTGAAGTTAAGGGAATAATTCTAAAACTGAGCCCACTGTGCTGACCCCCACATGCTTTCTCTTAAAAAAAAAAATTACCTGCAGCCCTGACTAGCCTGAGTTGACAACATATGTTACATTCCTCAGCAAACTAACTGTTAGCTGCAGGAGAAATGCAGATCCAAAATTCCAATGAGAACACAAGTTATCCTGAAGGGAGAGGATCTGGTAATTCTCCACACAGACAAGATCCCAGAACTCAGGCAAAAAAGGAAAACTTCTCCTAACCCTAAATAAAATCTGTAAGAACAAGGTCTAATTAGAACCAGTCATTATGGGTCAAAGTGACCTAGAGTTGTCTTGTGCAGTAGGGACTTGAGAATCTCATGTCAGTCTGCTGTCAAAAGTAAAGAGGTGTTGGAGGTGGGGAATCAAGAGGTGAACCTAGGTGGGAATCTCTGGAAATTTCCATGGGACCCCCAATAAAACTGGAGGCTAGGAGAAGCATACTGCCCTTCTCCTAAGAGGACCTACTCTGTCCCTTGAGAGTGTCCTTTTTTCCTTTATCATATTCCTTCTAATAAACTCATGTCTGTCACTCTGAGCAACATGTATGAAGTATTTCTGGCACGATGGCAAGAATCAGGGTGAAGAGGGGGTCTCCATGATTACCTCAGCTTTGTGCCAGGCCTCTGCCCCCAGTATAACACTATCAGAAAAATATAGTTGATACCTTCCTTCTAGCCTTTGCGTAATTGAGCACACATAAGCCTGGGTTGAAGCTAGTTCTTTGTTAAGTTTGTTTCCCTGCTGGGCTTTGAGTTCTTATGATACCCACATCATGGAGTTTCTGTCCAAGATACAGTGATTCCCACTTCTCTGGGAACTATCTCCAGCCATTTTGTAACTACATATGCCACACCAGTCTTAGCCACCCAACAAAACTGTTTGGAGTAGTAGACATCAGATGACTCTTTACCCCAAGTTTTTAATTTCTAAACTGACATTCCTAGACAGTAAAAACCATAACAGAGGTCAATGGTAGCATCCTAGAGGGAATTTCCTCTCTGTGCTTCTCCTTTTCACCCACCATAATGTGATGCAGCCGAGGAAGATCTACACCAGAATTTATGCCATGTTGTTTGGATCTTGCACCTCCAGAGGTTTACGAGTCACGATAAAAATATTTCATTTATAAAGTAGCCTGTCTCAGATATTATGTTATAGTAGAGAAAAACAGACTAATACATAAAATATATATTGTTTAAGAAGCCAATGTTTGGTAAAGTATAAATTTGACTAATTGGTCAAAGAATTGTCTTGAAGTTGATCATGCTCAAGTCCATGAAAAGAATCAGAAATGAGTTTCTGAATTTTCAAGATTGTCAGTAACAATCAACAAAAGTTGTTCTCTGTAACAACTTTTTCCTAGGAGGTATTTATTTTAATATTTAAGGTAGAAAGTCTGGTTTCATGTGCAATCCTTCAGCCATTGATTCTTTCCTAATAGGTTTGGACTGAGTTATCTCTGTGCCCTAGTCCAATGCCTTTCATGAGTTTAAAAACTGATTCAATGTTCAGACAGAAGTAGAAAGGTCTTAGGTTTCCCTTTGCATGTAACAAGGAAATCTTACTCAGGAGGATATTGTAAAAGGTACAGTAAAGCACAAAGTCTGGCACCTGGCATGTGCTCAATGTGTTTTTAAAATTTATATGAATGTCCTATGTATACCAACACTATGCAAGCACCAGAGACACTGCAAATAATAATGCATGGAAATTGTTTCTCTTGATTCTTCCCATATGTATTTATTGACCCTTTTTTGTTCTTGTCAGACTCAAATCCAGGTCTCTTTGACCCAAAATCAAAGCTCCTCAGCATGTCTTTTGACTAGCTGTCTGGGTTGTTCCTCACCATAAATAATGGGCACTTAGCCTCTTATCTATGTGGAGTGTTTCTTTTATGTGTTCTCTGCTCCAGAGGGCCTTGGGGGGCAATCTCATCTGTCTCTCTCATGAGTCTTCTGGCGAGCGATTTATAAGCTGGAAGTGGACCTGTTACAGCTTCTGAAACCAGGAACAAAGTCTCTGAAGCTCCCAGGATCTGAGCAAGAAGAACATTCCAGGATGCAAAGTAGAATGAGAATGAAGCTTTTTATAAAATATAAGTCCTTTTTGAAAGACATTCACAAATGTTGACCAGAAACCCCTTAGCAAGTCTTATAACATTCCACAGTACATTTCAATACATTTTCTCAGTTCAACATACTTAGAAAGGTAGAAATAAATAACAGTATCAGTCACATAACAGTATCCTTTCAAACATCATATTTAGGTAGGTAAAAAATATTTCATTTTAATGGATCATGCAAACAGGAACACAAGACACAGGCATCCCTATTTGTTACACATATTAAACTTTAACATTGTTTTAAAACATAAATCACAACCAGACTGCAACATAAACATCAAATATAACTCACTGTATGTTCTTACACTTTTGCTAATTTTTAGTTAATACATGTAAGTATAAAAGAACATGATAACTTTTGGACTCACAGAGAAAAAATGCACAGTCCCTTCAAAGGGTCATCTGCAGCCACAGATGTGTTCCATGTCAGCTGTTCTTCTTTTCAACATATTATTTTGGAAATTGTCACCACTCTTGGGAATACTGTGTGTGTACTTAACAGGATGCATTTTTTGCTTTTTAGAAAAAAATGTGTTACAATGAATTGGAACCCCCCAGGGTTTTTCATTCTAACTTTCTCATATAACCAGCTATGTGGTCTTGGGCACCTCATTTCACCTCATTTGCTCCTCTGAGAACTGGAACCTATAAGGCCCCCTTCTGTTGTGGTATCATGGGACTTCCATGAGGTAATCCTGGTCCATCCCTAAAGTAGTCTGGCTTTCTTGCTCCTACTCTTTTGTTTCGCTTTTAATACACACTTGAGAACATTTCCTTTCTCTTTCTTTTGAGGGCAGCTTTTTGTCACCATGTTTTTAAGGGCCAAAAGGAAACTGGGGTTGAAAACAATGGGCAGGCAAGCTGCATAACTTCCTATCAACTCTAAGACAAGCATGAGTGATAAAGAGTAAGGCAGAATCTTCAGCATGGATCAGACCTTGGTTCTAGAGAAAACTGTAGAAGGGGCTCAGAAGAGAAGTGTTCTGAGAAGTGGCAGCCACAGGGGAACCGCTGTCATGCCTCTCCAGGTGACCCCTGAAAGGGGGCAACAGCTATTTGTATGTCTCTGCACAGATATCTAGCTCTGTTGTAGCAAGAGTCCCAAATCTCCAGTGGATCTCTATCCAGTGTCCCTTCAATTGCCAATTAATTCCAGTCTGAAAACTCAAATTACAGTAAGAGTCAGAGGCTCCCACTTTTCCCCCATGAGAGCAGGACAGCTCCACCCAGGTCTTGTTCTCTTACAAATATTCTGCTTTCTACTCCAATCTTTGCACTGACCACGACCACCTGCCGTTCTTCCCTGAGAACTTTTCCACACAAAGCAGCCCCTAAGACTGTGCTTTCAACTCCTTTCCAGAAAGCTCAGGTGTGTGGCAATGCCAGGCTTTCCTCCTCCACCTCCTTCTTGGACATCAAGTATCATTTTGTCAAAACCTTTCAGTGCCTCCCTTAGGAGCGAATATGCAGAATTTTCTTGAATGTCTTCTTGAAGTTCTCATTGCACAAAGGATAGATGAGGGGGTTCAGAGTGGAGTTGATATAGCCCAGCCAGATGGTGAACATGTGCACTTGTTCATTGCAGCAGCTCTCACAGAAGGCAATGACCATAAAGAAGATGAAGTAGGGAATCCAGCAAAGGATGAAGGCTGCCATGATGAAACCCAACTGTTTGGCAGCTTTCCGTTCCCGGTTCACGTGCAAACCAGAAATGTACTGTCTTGAATGGGAGCGAAGCCTCTTCCACGTGAACTTGATGTAGTCCAGGCCTGGGTTGGACCCACTTCTCAATTTGTCTCTGCCCAGTGCTGGTTCTGTGCTGGTATCTGAGTCTGTCATGCGGCCAATGGACTGGCTCTCAACCAACGTGTGATCCACTGATATTTCACTG